TTTACTATACTGTTAAAATGTTTATATACTTCATTCTGGGAAGAACTCAAGTTGTCTGTTTTGCTACCACATTTTTGAGAAGAATCTAAGCTGACTTCTTTTAATAAATCTTTGTTTTCTGGATTCCCACTTGGGAGTGTTTTCTTCTGGGTCCAACACAACTGCCCCTGTGGCTCAGTGGTAAAGACACTAGTCTCCACAGCAGAGACCCAGGTTCAAGACCTGTCAGTGATAGTAAAGCTAATACTCGACCCAGAGATGCTCAGAGCCAAAGATCTTTTGTCGGCTCTTCCTCAAGTGTTCTTGTTTACTTAATTTGTAATCACCTGTGACTTGTCCCAGACTGTGTATTTAAGTTGTCACTTTTTCTCTGTTCCTCACTTTGTTTTTGAGTCAGCCCCAGTGAACTTGCCTTGCGTTTGTTGATCTTCTAAGCTACGTCGAGTAAGATTGTTTTATTTTACCTGTTACCTGCTGTCCAATTGTCTACTTGTTTTCTCCCTTCGCTGAGTTTTCTTTATATGTTTACTATAATGGTAAAATATTTTATATACCTCATTCTGGGAAGAACCCAAGTTGTTTGTTTTGCTACCTCATTTTTGAGAAGAATCTAAGCTGACTTCTTTTAATAAATCCTCGTTTTCTGGATTCCCACTTGGGAGTGTTTTCTTCTAAGTCCAACACAACTGCTCTGTGGCTCAGTGGTACAGTCACCAGTCTCCACACCAGAGACCCAGGTTCAAGACCCTATAGTGACAGAAAAACTGAGTCTGGACCCAGAGACACTCAATGCTATGTGGTCTTGTTTACTTAATTTTCTTTACTGTACTGTTAAAACATTTTATATACCTCATTCTGGGAAGAACCTAAGTTGTCTGTTTTGCTACCTCATTTTTGAAAATAATCTAGGTTGACTTATTCTAATAAATCCTTGTTTTCTGGATTCCCACTTGGAGCAATTTCGTTTAGGTCCAACACAACTTCCCCTGTGGCTCAGTGGTAAAGTCACCAGTCTCCAGGAAGGGTACAAGGAAAGAACAAAGAAAGGAAGGACAGACGGAAGAAAGAGAACAAGGTAGAAAAGAAGGACAGATGGAAGGAAGGAAGGCAGCAAGCAATGTTGGACAGACGACAGTAAGTGAACTAGGAATGTAACAAAGAAAGGGAGGAGGATGGACAAACAGCAGAAAGAGCATGAGGAAAAAGAAAAGGGAGGATGAAGGGAAGAAAGAATAATAGGCAGCTGGAGGGAACTAAGGAAGGAGAAATAGAAGGAAGAGGAAGAGAACAAAAAAAGCAAGCAAGAGGTGAACGAGGAAAAGAAAGAGGAAAAGGAAAGATAGATGGCAAAAAGAAGGAAACAATGATGGGTACAGGGCAGGAATGAGAAGGACAGATGGGAGAAAGTAGGAGTACGAGGAAGTAAGGTAACAAAGATGGAAAAAAAGTAGGAAAAATAATAAGTGATGGTGAAAACCCAAGAGCAAGGGGGAAAGAAAACAGAGAAGAAATACAGAAGAAACAAACAGCAGATGAAGTGAGAAAAACAGCAGAGAACACTGATGCTTAGCAGTAAGAAAGTGAAGACAGACAGCAAGAGGAAAGAAAATGACACCGTGAGCAAGAGACAGAGAAATGCATATGCTGCTGGAGGGGAGTTAAAAGGTTTGGCAGGGGAGAAGGTGGGGGAAGATTAGCTCGACTGACAACTCCATTAGAGACTTAACCCTGGCTTTGATCATCGCCTGAGCCTCTCTTCAGCCAGCCTGATGCAGGAGCTGCAAAGCTGACAGGCTCCTGAACGCAGGTCTGCCAGAGATCAAAGCTCTGTCTCTTACAACTCAAGCGGCTTCGCTTTCGCTGTTGTCCTGTGAGAACCAACGCTCACACGCAGAGAAAGAGAGATCTCTGAATGGGCCGTTTACTCAGGTCGTACTGTGTCAAACTATTTGTTTTTCCATGCTTTGATTGTGAGAGCTTTCCTTACAAGCCAGACATGATTTTTTTTCCCAAGGTGTTCTTTTACATTCGTCACACTTCATTCTTCTGCACAGCTCTGATAAAAAAACATAAACCCACTAAACAAAAACACAGCCGGTAAAAGGCACATGGTGTTAGACTGCCATTTCAGCTGCTCACTTTGCAACCAACACATCCTTGTGAAACATATTGTGTTCATGCAAATGAATTCATGTGAACTGAATATGTCGCTTAAATTCGCACTATGACACTGCCCGTCACGCATGCCATTATCTGTATTACACAACAACTCCACAGGAAGGCACAGTGTGTGCAACAGATTTCCTTTTTAAAGCAGCTACTTTGGATAGGTTAGGCTTTCAAAAATAAAAATTACAGTAAAAAGAAAAAAAAACGGTGCATTTTAGCATTTTCTTTTGAAAACAGCTGTTTTACTCAAAATATTTGTGGGATACATAATAAATTTCATGTCAGGATATTGTGCTGAACAGAAATGCATCAATGTTGAGGAATAATTTTAACCCTTGTGCACTGTTCAAATTTACTATCCTTTTGTTATCTTCGGGATGAAAACATCCACTGAATTAAACTGCTTTAAAAATACATCAGATTTTTTATTATTATTTTTTTAAATGTTGGCATTAATCTGTTAATCAACCTCAGTCCTGATCAAACTACTAATTTACTTAGAGAAATACAGGATTTTAACTCTTTTATTGCCAAATTCATAAATGATGTCACTGATTTGGTGAAAAAAAAACACACAGAATGATGTATTTCAATCTAAAAAGTTACAACATTGGTTTGATGCATTGCTAGATTTTCATTTTTTCTCCCTAATTTACTGTTGGTGGCCTAATTTACTGTTTTTTACCCCATTGATTTCCATTATAACCATTTGATGTTGCATAAATACACAGTCTTTGTATTAGCTCCATGTAGTTCTGAGAGCTGAGAAGCATATTTTGACTTTCTCAGACACATTAAGTGCGCAAAGGTCACTCTCACAGACACACACATTTTAATTTGCTGTTATACTTCTTAGAAAATCCAGAAATTAAGCTTTTTTTTTGCACAGACATCTAAAGTGTTATCCATGCCAACAGAAGATCAACAGTAAAATTGACAAACTTTACCTTTTCCCAAAAAAGAAAACCACCAACAATCAAAAATGCATGATTATATGGAAGTTTATAATGGAAGTCAATGGAGCAAAAAACAGCCACCAACTGTAAATTAGGGAGAAAACCAATCAAATCGATTTACGTTTATCTATCTTTGCTTGCTTGCTACCAATGTCTATCTATATATAACTCAGCTTGCTACCTATATTTTATAATACAGTGTTTGTAATTTTGGAAATTCATCTTTAGTTTCAATCTTTTAATATTAGCTTTGCTAGCTACATTTTCATGGTTATATTTAGTTATAGTGGAAATCGTTTTTTGTGTGTAATCTGTTGAACTTAGCTTGCTACTTAAATTTTCACGTTTAGATACTGTAGCATCTTTTGTGCTCTTTTTTAGCTTAGCTAACCATCTATACATTTGCAAAATATAGTTTAGTTAAAGTCAAAAATCGTCTCTATCTATCTATCTATCTATCTATCTATCTATCTATCTATCTATCTATCTATCTATCTATCTATCTATCTATCTATCTATCTATCTATCTATCTATCTATCCATCCATCTATCTATCTACCTACCTACCTACCTACCTACCTACCTGTCTGTCTGTCTGTCTGTCTGTCTGTCTGTCTGTCCATCTTAGCTTAGCCTGCTGCCAATATTGTCAAATGTACTGTTTTTTTTTTCTCTCTCTCTTTCTATATTGCATAAGGTAGCTGGCTGTGTTTTCAAATCGTCATGTTTAGCTATTTAGCTATTAAGATTTCCTATTAAGATCATGTGCATGTGTATGTGCGTGTGTTTTCTTCTATGTTAGCCTAGCTTGCTAGCTATATTTTCCCATGATTGTGTTTAGTTATTATGGGAATATATGTCTTTTGTGCTCAATCTATGCTAACTTATGACTAGTTAGTTACATTTCCACATTATAATGTTTAGTTACTATGATGCACAATTTAAGTCATATCTGTCAATGTTTGCTTTGCTTTCTAGCTACAGTTTCATCTAATTACGTTATTTATAGTTGAAACATCTCTGCTATCTTAGCTTGCTTGCAAAATGTTAACATTATTATGATTAGTGGAACATGTAACACATCTGAGATCGCATTAGCATGAGAAAATCCCTTTGCTTGCTAGCTAGTCACAGTTCTTGATGAAAATTAAGAACTTTTTTTACAATGTTTAATTTCCTCTTCTTTGCTTCTTATGTTTAGTATCATACCCATGACTGGAATGCAACAATAGAAGGTCAACCCAGACTTTCTGACTACAGAGAGACCTAAAAATAAGCCAGCCAATATGTATTTGGTTATGCTGTTCTAATATTAAACACATTCTAGAAAATCATCATAAGTCAGTTAAGGTCCTATTTACGTGTTTTAAAATCCATCATTTCCTAAGACATTAAGGCTTGATATTTTACTCTGCCCAAAAGAGAAGTGTTCTCCATATTTCATTTGCATATTTCTTTTATGGGATTCAATATTTTCAGCTGCAGTTGTTTTTTTGGGTTTTTTTTGTTTTTTGTTTTTTGTTTTAAATGAGCTGGTGAAATACTCTAACATAAGATCTAACAAGATCTTCTGTACCCATGACATAGAATCATAACTACTGAAGACAATGTTTAATACTAGACGTGAATTACTTGTTACTAAACACATCAGAACTCCGATGAGGCAGAACTGTACTAAATTAGCCATATGGCTTATTAATCCTATGAAGATTTATGAAGAGGGAATAAATGTATAATGCCGTGCTTTAGTAAATGAGGAGGGACCAAAATCTTTGTCTCTGTCTAATGATTTATAACACTTTTTTTCAACAATGCTTGGTGATAAATAGAGAGAACTCCTGCCTGTGAGCGTGAAAAAAAAAAATTGGTCTTTACCTACTGGCTGGTATCCCTGCCTTGTAGGCCCACCAAATGGATTTCTGCTTCCAAAAGAGCCCGCATCGATGGATCCGTAAGACATTTTGGGTCCTCCAATAATTTCTCCAGCAGCCAAAAGAGACTAATCTGCATAGGCACACAACAAGCAAGAATTTATTTAGTTACAGTCAATAGTTACATAAATCATGAGAAAATCTGTAAAGCAAACAATGTTAATCAGCACATTTTAAAAGAAAATATCAAAACATAATAATAAAAAAATATATAAAATAATATAATATAAAACAAAAACAACAACAATAACAATAATGCTAGTTATATTCTTTATTAATATTACTAATCTTTTAAATATTGGGCCAGCCATAGCTTGAAAAATACATTAGACCAGATAGAAAGCGCTGAAATGTAAAACTGATAATAATAATAATAATAATAATAATAAAAATAATAATAATAATAATAATAATAATAAAATACATGAACAAAACACATGTTAACAAATTTATCAAGATTTGGCTAAAAAGTATGAAATTCCACAAGTGTAAAATCAATTAGGGGACAAAAAAAAAAAAAAAAAAAAACACAACACAAGCCCTCTGCATTTGCATACATGCCTACTTTAGGTCATTCATCCGGACCTGACAAGCAGCCACATCATTAAAAGAAAATGAAACATATGCACCTCCGAGATCATAAAAAAGCTCTTAAATCGTTAATAAGGCTGCGTTTGATACAAAAGTGATCAACTCCCTTTAGTTATTTTAGGCTTACATTTCATTTACTATGTATGTGGGACTTTTTGTTTCAAAAATGCGATGCCCAAATTGTTTACTGTGCATTACTGGACAACCACAGCAGGATGCATGTTTCAAACTCTCCTCATAATGCAAAATGCAAGATTTGAAGAATACACATTTAGTCATCTTCACTCCGAAGTGGCATAAGGTATGTTTAGTTACATCATGGGCCTGTTTCAGGAAGGAGGTGTTTAAACTTGAACTCTTGATTTACTGAGAGATTTAAAAAAATCAGAGTTTTTGGTTTCAAAACAGCTAATCTGAGTTGGGTCCATCAACTTTGAGTAGACAAACTCAGAGTTAAGCGCGTACACCGTGACTATGAAAAGGCATTATCAATGGAGCGCAGTTATTATGAGTGACCATGGCAACATCTGAAAAAAAAAAAGAGATCGGCATTTCTGTTTCCAGCTGCACTTGATCTGCTCATGCAAAATCATAACAAATATGACAATATATTTAAAAAAGCAACAACACTGCATCAGTGAAATAGAGACCGTTAGGGAGGAACAACAGCTGCTCAAGTTAATGCGTAATTTTACATTTAAAGTATTTAAATATTTAAGTATAACAAAATAAGTAATGTTATGTGTGACGTTTATAAAAAAATGTACACACAATCCTACATTTATAAAAAAATGTACACACAATCCTACATTTAAACACATTGATCCTATTATTGATCAAGTGTTAGAGGTTGACATGACATTTAGACTGTAAGCAGAACTAAAAATAGTGTTTAGAACAAGTAATATATCCATTAATCTAGTTACAGTACATCTTGAAGGTCAGTGAATTTTAAGCTAATTATTTATTAAAAAAGGACAAGACATTCTTGTACGTGACTTTGTTCTTTGTGTGACTGAAATGTAGGCAATAGCCATGTTTCCATCCAAAAATATTAATTAAATGTATGTGCAGTGTTTCCATCCAATGAGTTAAAAAAGAGAACAAAATTGTCACTTCCTGATTAACTGGTGCCAAATTTTAACAGTAAAAACAGAATTTACAGCGATAGAAGAAGCTGCTTCAATCTTTTCTTTATTTAATAAATGGCTTGTGCCTCAGAAGACAATGCTGACACATAAAAAACACGTGGGGGCATTTGAAGCCATGAGACACTGAGAACAGACACTCTTGACACCCTGGAGGTAATTAATAATATACATTAATACTGAAATGGTTCAGATGTTTTAGAATGACCAAAACAACATTTAAGATATTTTACAATGTGCACAGCCTGCTGGTTTGGCTATTCACACACATTTTTATCATCATCTCTTAAAAACAAAACTTTTTTAATGCACATACAGGAATTTGTTTAGTAAAAGTGTTTCCATTGCAGTTTATTTGCATCTTTTCTCTTTTCTAATCGAATAAAAGTTTCTCCGACTCACTTATGCGCATGTTTTTTATGCGCATGTTGAAAAGTTTTGTGCATCATGAAGTTTCCATCAATCGTTTTTATGCGCATCTCCAAAATAAGCATATAAATAGGTGAATGGAAACGTAAGGCTAATGCGAGAAATACTGCTTTGACTTTAAAAAAGGGGAGGAGACCGACAGAAACTCAGAGTTTAGAGAATAAAATCTGCTCCTGACCAGGTTAGGTTCACAGAGTAAGTTACCAGAGTAACTGAGTTTAAGTTACCTATCTTTTAGAAACAGGCTGGACTTACCCTGCTTTCTCCAGTTTGACAAACCTACCATTTTGAAAAGGAAAACCTAGAGTTTCTCTCATTTCAGGGTTAAAATACTTACCTAACCTCCTTTCTGAATAGGACCCTTATGTTTATTTGTTGTGTTTATTGTGTAATTCGATGCATATTTTTCAACAAACACATGCAGACATCTGAATCGTGTCAAACCACTCAGCTCAACTCTCATCTGTTCATGCAGAGGTTATTACTTCCTGGCAGTGTTTTTTTTTTTTTTTTTTACTTTAGCTTAAAAATAAAAGGCAATACATCTCTATCACTCTCTTTTGTCAAGTTGAATTATAATTCAGCCTTTAACCACAACAGATCTGGTGAGAAAATAGGTTAATGTTACTCTGATTGGATGTATATTTGCCCGTGATCATGCTCTGTGTGTGTCTGTAAGAACGGCAAGTCAGAGCTAAGCTCATTAATATTCATGACACAACCAATATATGGTCAATCATGGACCTTCTGACCCTAGGGGTTTTTATAGAGTAATACATGAGTTTATTAAACTATTTCTGGAGATTTTTTGAATTTACCGAAGCCATACCTACTATGTAGATATCAGAGAACAATTTAATTTATTAAACCAATGCAGTATATGGCATCTTTAAAAATTAAAAGCAAAATTAAAACTTTAATTATTTGTATTAACAGTATTATCAATTTAAGTAATATTCCTAAAAAAAATAAATAAATAAATAATTAAAAAAAAAAAATAAATAAATAAATATATATATATATATATATATATATATATATATATAAATTAATAAAATTAAATAAATTAATTAATTAATAAATACAGTACAAGCATATTTTTTGACAAGTTATATAGCAAACAAATTGATTAATATAACCTTACAGCTCTATTAGAACAAAGTTACTCCTGACCCACTAACTCACAGAGCCTGGTGCGCAATTAACAAGGGCGCATATGCCACTTCATCAGTGCACTGGGACTCTTCATGTCACTTACATTCATTAGCAAAGTGCTGAAGGTGTGAACTGATATGGGCATCTGTGGCACGATTTCACCCCACATCGACATGTACTGCATGTGTGTGAGTGCGAGCATGAATTAAACCCCATGTGACACAGTTACACTACTCATGCCATGAATCAGTCCTTGCGAACGACTCAGTCATCTGCATTCACTGTTCACATCCATAATAACTTTCTGAGGGGTGTGAAACATTGTTAAAAAGGTTAAGAAATTCATTGTGAAAGCATCTGTTGACCCCTCAACTTCAGCACAGCTTGAACACTGAGAGCCAACCTGCTTAATGGATTCACCTGTAGGAGCATCATGTCACATATACAGCATCAAATGTCATCATCTGCATCAGGCATTACGAGTACAAAAGTGACACTTCAGATTATGCAACCCCTGCATTTATATGGAGAGGAGGAATTAAAGGGATACAGTTGAATCACATACAGTTGAAGTCAGAATTAATAGCCCCCCTTTGAATATTTTTTTCTTTTTTAAATATTTTCTAAATGATGTTTAATAGAGCAAGGAAACTTTCACAGTATGTCTGATATTTTTTCTCTTCTGGAGAAAGTCTTATTTGTTTTATTTCTGCAAGAATAAAAGTAGTTTTTAATTTTTCAAACACCATTTTAGGGACAAAATTATTAGCCCCTTTAAGCTATTTTTTTTTTCCGATAGTCTACAGATCTAACCTGCCTAGTTAACCTAATTAACCTAGTTAAGCCTTAAAATGTCACTTTAAGCTGTATAGAAGTGTCTTTAAAAATCTAGTAAAAAATGTTTACTGTCAACTTGGCAAAGATAAAATAAATCAGTTATTAGAGATGAGTTATTAAAACTATTATGATTATAAATGTGTTTAAAAAAATCTGCTCTCCTTTAAACAAAAATTGGGGGAAAAATAAAAGGAGTGGAGAGCGGGCTAATAATTCTGACTTCAACTGTAAATCAAAATAATATCGACATTATTTAATTAACCATATTATATAGAGGGATCAATTAAAAGACACAATGCTGGATGGCTGGTTAAGGATATTTAAGTAAATTAATAAGAAAGTCAAATTAAGTAATTTAATAATATATTAAAATTCGCTCTGGCAGGCACATGGATTGGCCACAGTCGGATGCAAATTTTACACAACAACTGTCAAAAGACGATGACGAAGAAGATGGAGAAGACAATGACTATGAAAAATACAACTTTGAAAAAGATGACAACTACAAAGAATACTACAAGAAGAAGACTACAAGAAAGAAGAAGACGACAACTAAGAAGAAAAAAATACAATGACTACTAAAAAGACGACAACTACGAAGAAGACTATGAAGAAGAAGACTACAAAAAAGAAGACTATGAAGAAGACTACGGAGAAGACTGCAGAGAAGATGAGTAGGAAGAAGACTATAAAGAAGATGACAATTAAGAAGACTACGAAGAAGAATCTGAAGACTATGAAGAAGACTGCAAAGAAAAAGAAGATTTTGAAGAAGACTCTGAAGACTATGAAGAAGACTATAAATACTACGAAAAAGACTACAAAGAAGAAGACTAAAAAGAAGACTAAGAAGAAGAGTACAAAGAAGAAAAACACTAGAAAGAAGATTACAAAGAAGACTATGAAGAAGAAA